CAATTTGGAATGTTGATCTGCCACCTCACGGAGACGTATCCAAATTGGGAGACGGAAAGGCCCAACGTTACCGATTTGACCAAGCTTTACAAGGCTGCGAAGGAGCGTTTTGATGTCGACGAAAAATTTCATGAGCGCTCTAAGGCGCAGGTTGTGCTGCTACAGTCCGGTGATCAGATTCCCGAAAAGTTTGGGAGACTCTGTGTGAAATTAGTCGCCGCGAATATCAGAAGGTCTATGATCGACTGGACGTGTCACTTAATGAGATGGGCGAGTCGTTTTACAACCCAATTATTACGCACCAACCATTGACGCAAAACTTAGTGGATCCAAGCGATGCACCACGCACATGATGCAGAACGATTGCTGCATTTCTCAGAGCGACAAATCACTCACGAAGTGACAGCTCATCTTGCTGCAGCCACAGAAGATGAAAGTGACAAAACGTTCGGCTAGATATAAATAATGACTTTATGTCCGTGAGGCTGGCAACTGGTGCGGTGGTCACCACGAAAAAATACGGTTGATCTACAATTGAAGTCTGAACAGAAATGAGGCATTCACATTCTTCGATTTGTGGTTAGTGCTCAGAAGGGCATGACAATAGACGATATAAATAGGATACTGGCAAATGGGCTGCCCGATGACTTGACCTTCGTACTTTTCGTGTTTGAACCAGCGACCTTGAGGTTAACAGCCGCATGCTCTACCAATTGAGCTATAGGAAAAGCGCACTTTTAAAAGCATACTATTCTGCCAAGACATTAACACAATTGTACACGCAAAATATGCGAATTGAACCAGACGCCCTCGTTTGACGCGACAGCAACAGCAAACGCACTCAAACGTTCGTCACGTCTGCTCTTTACTTGTCACACAGCTTATGTAACGGCATTGTGTTGCTGGACAGAATTTGTGGACAAAACGATGGCAATCAAATGTCATGGGAGCTGAACGTCCAACGACGTTCCATTTCAAAAATCAACCTGCAAAATGGATTGACAGAGTGCAAGCAAAAGACTATCATGGGAATCTGCCAATTATACTTTACTACAAAACGTCTTGACGGTTTGTTATGCGGTAGATTTGGACACAGCCGTTTATTTGATTGATCGTTCGACGAACACATTTCTACCCGACATCGCGCCATATGAGCTGGTTTTGAAGATAAAGCCTCGGACGGATCACTCACACGTTTCAGGTGCAAAGTTATGCTCATTTTTACGATGTAACAAGAACAAAGTGCTTATCAAGGAGATTCAAATGTATGTTTTTTTATTAGGCATAAGGTGTCAAGGGTTATCGCGTGGTCGAATTGGAAAATCCAGAGGGTAATTTGAACCGCGCTATGAGGTTGGATGAGCGTGCTATAGTCGCTATTTACGACGCGCATGCGTGACAGTCAGAAGCGACCATCGAAGATATCAAAGACAGTGATGATTTTTATTTTCAGCGCCGACGGATCGACAGCCAATTCGAAATAAACCTATGGAAATCGTCGAAGTATTAGTCACATACATCGAATTTGACGATGTTTAGCGTACATCAAGTGTCAGCATACAGCAGCTGATGCCTTCCTAGCGTTGTGGTGAAAATAGGTTGGAGTAAGGAGAGTATCGATCATCTTTTTATGTGCGTCAAAAGTATTTTTGGCGTTTTAGCCATACGTGGATCGAGCAAGGCGAAACCATGAGCCAGTTCTTATACTACGGACCGGCATAATCGACGAAGAGAAACAGAAGAAAAGTGGTAGTTAACTGACATGAAAACGTGCTAGGAGTGAGATAGACGAATTCGTTACCGATGATGCTTTACGTACATGGTGATAAGTGAGGATAATAAAGACTTGTCGATTTCATATTCTCAAACAATGGAAAGCGACCATGCAGAGAATTGTCATGATGAAAAAAAAAATTAAGCCGAGGTTCGCTCTCAAGAACAGAACGAATTTAAACTATCAAAGCCGAGCAAAAAGAACAATTTTGCAATTTGTTCACGATTGGTGACCACCAAATAACGTGATCATAGTGGCACTGCTGTGCGGTTCAAGGCACGATTGATCGCAAAATAATTCAAACAAACCATAAAGCCTATTCTAGCGAGCCTGTTTCTCTGGTCGGCATCATGCACACAATTCGGATGATACCTGCAGTGTGTGCCGGATAAGACTGTAAAATGGATGCTCCACTGGGTGTCGACATTACCCAGGAAAACTTACGCCAATTAACAAGGCTGTCTATGAGTCGAAGCAAACAAGACAATACATCGTGTCCTGTGAATAATGGCTTTGAGATCTGCTGGAAGCAGTGCGCTGATGTCAAGTAAAGTCGGAGAATCAAAAACTAGCGAAAGATCAATTTATCCTCAGAAATGTCGAAAATACGTCAAAAAAGGAGTTGGGCAAGCCGGAATGTTTTACTGGGTATATAATTGACAACGACAGGCCTACCGGTACAATTATAATCAAGCAGTTTTCTTAGGTTGATGACGTGGTCAGACATTTTGATCAACAAGATTCCAACAGTTTCGAGAGCCCTTGCGCATCAGGTTTGAAGTCGTCCTCAAAGACGGCGGAAGAATGTCGTTTGGTGATGCGCTTGACAGCATATCTCACCTTGGTTAGATGTCTGCGATACACAACGTTATGTTCTCAACCGGATGATGTATACTTGGAAAAACCCGGACTGGAGCATTGGAATGCAGCTATTCACTTGCAATGCGATCTGAAGTGTACAAGCCGATCCGGTATTGTATACCAATGCAGTGGTAGCATTGCTGCAATGGCATATTCAGATGCTGATTGGGCAGCTATACCGAAGCCAGACGTTCTGCTTAGGGGTTGTAAACATGATTGCGGTCACGCCAGCGCTGATCAAATCAAAGTACTAGTGAATTACTGCATACAGCGCGGTGAAGGCTGTGTACATGGCTCTCGGTCTTTGCACTTACAGAAATTTTGGACGAATGCGATGCTTAATATCAGTTAAGGCACACAGCGTTGGAAAGACAAATTAGGAGCGAGCGATTTAGTCGACAACGCCAGATAATATGCTTGAACGGAGCTTGTACAAATCATCTTTTTATACATGCAAGAAGAAATAGTGAAAATTGACTTTATTGACACAAAGCGTCAGCTTGCATATATACCATCAATACACCAGAAGCGAGTATCGAGACCGAGCCAGTGCCAAAGAGCAACAAGTACTAATAGCAAGCGGGCACGTTAAAATGACACCGCTCAATCTTGTTACATCTATATGTCGATTTTACATGGTTAAGGTGTGGCGGCTTCACTTTCTTTATTGAGAATTTTGATCAAAAGAGGACAAAGTTTCGATACACGGTGTTTAGTGCATACGCTGGGGATACAAGCTAGAGCGCACAACCTTCTTCGTTTGTTACGGCTTACAGGCAAATATTTCAACATCACGACTGAGGAATCTGGCGTAGATGTGGCAAAGACATCAGAACATTATTTTTATAATCTTTTTTACTTCGACTTTTACCAACAAAACAACAGACGGCAAATGCCAAGGTAAGAAAGTTCATGTTGTAATCACAATGCCGTAACCAAGAACAATAAATAACAAAAGAAACGAACCAAAACTCACATCCTTGATCTAAAGAGATGTCAAACGCTGGCTTATCAAATTGTAATTTTGGTGAATACAATTGTAAATCTAAGGCTTGCAAAAAGCATACATATTGCTGCAACATCATCCTCCAAAAGTAATGAGCGGCATTATCACAACATAGCAGCTTGCAGCAAAATGTGTCAAAGGTTCACAAATCGCCGAGACACCTTATAACAACAGAATACAGCTGTAAAATTTCTCCAAAGAGATTTACAAAGATTCGCCTTCATAAAGTGCATTCTATAAGATTCTCATTAAACGTGTCATTCCTTCAATTAAAGGGGGGTTTGTCGTATCGATTTGATTGGTATAGTTCAAGACCAACGACAAACTCTGGTACCGAGGTAGTGCAAGCTGCGGGCGAAATCCTACAGATTTTTGCTGATACTATGAGCTCGTACGAGGCCATGCAAATCATGTCAGTAATTAAGCCTCCATGCTATTCGCACGATCTAGTTCTTGGTTTTATTTTTTGCTTGTCTCGGTGTGATGTATGACAGCTCATCCAAAAGATGTGACAAGGTGTCGAAAGAGGTCTACTACAGGCAGGTATGATGTTAAAGTCTAAGCATAGACAATTTGAGACGATTCGCAATGAGCGTGGAATTAGCGCGACGCTAGCAGCATTGAGAACACATTGCAATGTATCACAATCAATGGTGACCTTATTTAGCAATACATGAAGACGGAAGCAGTTATTATATAATCACAGATATCGTAAAAGTTTCAATTTTATGTTTCTAAAAAAGGTCACCGATGATTTTTTTACCAGTGCATTCTGAGGGAAGCAACTATCATATAACCACATTAGTCGTAAAATTTTCACTTGATGGCTCAGCTGCATCATCAATCAGAAAGTATGATATTAAGTCACTCGCAACGTCATTCTACAAGGCTGTATGATAAAAAGAAAGGTTGGACCAAGCATCTCGTCACAACGTGAGTTGCACACTATTTCGTTGGCATTAGGCTCCTTCCTATATCAGACAAATACGTCATTGAGGTCGAGCATATAGTTAATGGTATCTAAACGAATAGATGTGTCGGTACTTGCTTTTTACAATTCACATTGCACCCATGTAGCCATTGCCAATAAATGATCCATGTAGGATCAAAGAGGGTTTAAAATCAGGTCATTTCCTTGCTTACCGATTCATAGACAAAGCTGACTGTAACTAACCGCAATGAAACATGTTGAAAAAGGCAATCGCATCATCCTGCAGCCGTTTCGAGAAAGGAGAGCTTGAAAATTTGTGGACAGCCTTATCAGATGAAACAGCAAAAGTCAGAGCATTCTGATGTATGTTATTTTTCGTTTGAAACTCTCAAGAACTCAAGCGTGTTGACGTATACAATGAATAGATGTTCATCATGGTTGACACAGTTAAACTTCTTC